CACTAAGTCTTGACATCTTATGATTTACGAGGACCATGAATGAAATGTTGACCTGAGGATAGAAAAGAGAAACAAACCTCACCTGCTGTGTGGCTTCTGAAGGCCTGATATGAAAAGGATGCTTCCATCCCCCCCATTCGGTTTATCTGCCATTTTCTTTTATTTTCAGTGGAGTCCCAGTAGACAATCGTTTCCAGATCACATATATGGGAATCATCAACCTTAAAAGTAAACCATCACCCAGACTGACACCAGAAAACACTGTAAACAATATCATTTTATTGAAATATTCAAGGAATCTCTGATATACTTTAGATTTATTCGACATTTGCACGGACATCATTTGACACGTTTAAAGGGAAACAACGGATAAACGGTACCGACGGGGGAAAAAACAAAAAGGAAAACACGTGTTATCTGTGCGCACATGCTGCCTCCTATTGGCAAGAAAAAAAGCAAACACATACTTTTGTTCAGAAACATTTTGGTAATGAGACAAAAAAAAAAAAAAGACGAATGCATAACGTTACCCTGACAAAAATCTGCATCTTTTCCTCTGGATCCCAAATGCATAAGTTCATCTACATAAATGATTACAAGCCTTCCACAAACACAACAACGTTTTTTTGGAAATAACAGGAAAGCAGCTCATGACAAAAACACTCACAGTGCGTTGGTGTGAATTATGGCACATATTATCTCATCAGGACAGACAGAAGCCCCAAAGATTCAAACACCCATAGCTGCAGAGCTTCCCAAATCGTGTTGGGAAGTTCAATAACGGGAAACGAACAGTTGGAGGTTTTCACCGGGTTAAGCTATCCGATATGCACTGATGTAATGATTACCGACGGACCTTTTCTATGTTAAGGCATGGAACGACCAATGAGGTAACTGCTATCTACTGCACCGCTTCATCACAGATGCTGTACGGGGAAATTCAAACGAGGGACGGCCACCGCAGATATCCATCCGGGTATTATTGTAGCCGTGGAGGCCGTTTGGAAACGAAACGGGTCGTGCAGTCTTTGGTCATGAACAAAGTCTGCTTAAACACATCAAGCGTAAAGAAAGTACACCCTCTGTTTATTCGAAGGTTTTACAACCAAAAGTCAGGATATCAACCAGCAAAACAGTCGGTTAGCTGGTCTGGAGGACTCAGGTGTGTGTTAACACAATGCCAAGGAGGAAAGACACCAGTTCCAGTTTTACCAGGGAAACTGTTGCTGCCCAGTCAATAGAGGAAGGTGTCTTAACGCGGTTTTATAAACAAGTGCAGCAAAACGGCGCAACGCAAACATAAAGTGGATCAAGAGGGTGTACTTTCTCTCACAAGCGAGAGTGGCGGCACATGAAACACTTGCAGGTTCAGACCTGACAAAACCTTCAAACCCGGCATCTTTTCCAGCAGCTTTCCGTAAGAACACTTTCCAAAGGGGACATATTGGATTTTAAAGGTGGTTGGGACCAATCTGTTTTCATATTGCTTCTCCTTTTAGGATGGGGCGCATGGCAAATACTTGCCCGGCACTACATTTCCCATAATCCTCACTTCTGGGGACTCACAGAAATGCATAACCTCAAAAGACTAACTTTTCGATCTGATTTGTCCTATTGCAGAACAGACCCATAAATATAAGACAACACATTTCTTATTCACGCCCAACATGACAACATATAATGTGTAAATACTCTGTTATATATATTTAATTTTAATTAAAAGGTGCAAAATAAAGTCACACACGTCAGCTTTAGAATGGCTCTCAGTATAACATTTGCACTGTACAGGTTATAGCATATATACTTTTTTTTTTTAACTATAAATATCTTTTATATTTGAATGAATTAAATAACAATCCATGTTATGATTGGTCATATTTGCTCTCTATGTCTTGATGTCACACGTGACAAAAAAAAATAGAACTAAAAAATAAATCTCTGACTTCAGGCTGAAATGGTTTGGAGGTTTAAAGACAGCGGGGAAGGGAATAAGGTAGCTTGATGGAATAATATACATTCAGCTTCAGAAAAGGCAGAATACACAAGGGGGAAGGAATTTGGGATCTTTCGCATTCCCTTCATCACAACCGAACCAAATCTTTTTTTTTTTGGGGACTTTCTGAACATTACCCTGTTGCCCCTTGCAGGTAACCTGAAGGTCCGCCGCCTCCCTCAAACGTGGGACTCGTCCAGGGGGGGGGAGGCGGGGGACAGGGGCAGAGGGGAGCAGGTGCGGGAGAGGGGCAGCGGGGAGCAGGTCCGGGACGGGGGCGTCGGGGTGGAGGGGCGGGAGACGGACGGGGGGGGGGACAGGCTGCTGCGCAGCCCCCACTGCTCCCTCCTCTCTTTGCTGCTTATGGCCGGAGCCACCTGCGCGACAACACACTTTGATCCTGAAGTTACAGGGTTCACACAATTCCTCCCTAAAACATTCAGCTTCCAAAACTTGTTTTCCTTTGAATTTTTTCACAGGGACATCAAACAAGCACACAACTGGTTATATAAAGTCGGCGAGATGCTTTTTGGAAGGGAAAATCAAAAGCATCTCAGAGGAAATATTAAGAAATGTACCAGGATATATGATCTGACCTTCGAGTGTTTGATCTTAAAGTTTTTTTTAATCTTTTGATCTTAAACACATTTTTTAATCTTTTATCTCTCCCTATCAAAATTATGGAAGAAAATCCATCTTTCCATTCGAATCGGCTCTTTTACGTCAACAATAATCACATCAAATGAGAATGTTTCTTGGACTAAAATCTAACTTTTACAGGAAAAACATTGGTTCCGCTTAAATCACATGATAATAACAAATCTGAGTGCTCTGAGGGAGAGATAAGGCATAAGACATACTGGGCTATGGCCAGAACAGAATGCCAGTAACTGTTCCAAAGATGCATTCAACCTTTTTTGTGTTTCTTTCCTTCATCTCTTTCTGTTTTGATCCATGATGCAACTGCATTGTTCGTTCCTGTTTGTCTTGATATCTGGCTAAAATAAGGCCCGGAATAGGACTATAAAGGCGTTTTTCCGTTATGAGGCTGTCATGTATTCTAAAGCTTCTTTGAGGTGATACCCGCCCTGCTCCTCTCTGCTGACCCTACCTGTGTGCTGGCGGGCCCGTGCAGGTCGGCGGTGACCATGGCTGAGAAGGCGGGGGGCACCTCCAGCGTGGGGGACTTGGACGGAGCCGGGCTGGCCCTCCTGCCGTCGGCCGGAGGCTCGGCGGCGCCCGGGGTGGGGGGCTTCCCGGCGGCCCCTTGATTCTCTGTAAAGGTCACTGATCTCTTTTGGTCTCCCTGCGCTGCGGGCACACACGCAAAACGGGAGCGTGGTTACGCGGGAAAAGGGCGGCCGTGCTGGCAGGCGGTCCGGCCAAAACATCGGCACCATCAACGAGAGTGGAGGCAGGGGGGGGGAGGGGTTGGGGTTGCAAGGTTGGGGTTGCAAGGTTCATGCAGAGCGCCCTAACGGGTATGGTTGCAGATTTTATTTTATTTTTTTAAAAAGGAAAAGAAGAAAAAAAAACGTTTAAATGGATGGGAGGGGGGGCTGTTGCGGGTGGGAGGGAGGAGGGTTAACGGCTGCGTCTCACCTTCACAGTCCAATAAAGTTTCTTTATTTTGAGAAACATAAAGGCATGAGACAGAACAGAGTGACAAAGAGTCAGTCTGGTGCTACAACAAACGGCACCGGACACAAAAAAAAAAGGGAGAGGCTGTGAACAGGGGTGGGGGGGGTTATGGACGGGTCAGGCGACATTCGGGTCGCCGTATGCGTTTGTCTGTGGAGCCATTTTTGGCCATTTGTGTTTCAGTCACTTTGCACAAACATCTATAATTTCAATATGCATCCACAAATAAGGCAACTCACTCACACACACACACAAAAATTGGACAACATGAGCCGTTACCCAGTGGTTTGTTCTTGGGCTGGATGCTCCGGCGTGTGGTGGACAGTCTCGCTCCGGACCGGCCGCGTGGCTCGTTCTTCGGAATGGACAGCAGGGGGCGTCGCAACTGCGGGACAGTCACAATTGGACAACATTTGGACTAACTCAATCACAGACATATAGGGAAAACAGGATAGGGGAATATTCCGCACATATAAAGGGAGGAAATTTGCTCCATTTATTGTTTTTGCTGTATCTTTGCTTCAACAAACTTGGAAAGAAGTCATACAAATGACACATTCCTGATGTATTCCTTTTGTTGTGCTTTTTTATGTGGATTTGTATTTTAAAAATACTCTCCTTTTGTATTTGGAATAGGGAATTCTATCAATCAACTGTGTCGGGATAAAAGGAATGACTTGGGTCCATGGTAGATAATAACAGATGAAAGCTGGTACACCTCTCTGCTTTCATCTACCAGTCAGATAAAGCTTTCAAAGGTTTTTTTAAACGGCATTAAAAAGAGAAAAACACTTGACCTCCATACCTGTCTGAGCCCTCGCTTTCTTCCCAGCGGAGGCTGGATCAGGAGGTTCTGCTGGCCCGGTTCACTCTGCACACTGGCCACTCTGTGTTGAAGTCGGACGCACGCGTATATTTGCATTCACACGAAAACACAGACACACACACACAAGCCAGACACACACGAATGCATAAGAAAGTGGGTACCCGAAGGGATGTCCTGACAAGCACCCGCTCCCTCACCGAGCCTGGCTTTGTTTCCAACAACGTATTTCTACACTACTGAACAAACACTGTATGCCATGAGACACCCAGTCACAGTGCAGAGGGAAACGAACAAAGGAAATAAAACATAAACAAAACAATGCTGCCATGATTTAACACCGAGAACACGACAGGGGGGACAGTAGGGGCTGGAGCAGCAACTTCTTTTATGCCCATCAAACCCTAATATTCAAATATTTGGTCATCCAGCCGGGAAAGGCAGATTAGAATTATTGAAAAGAAAAGTTGACAAGATTCAACAGAAACACACAAATGCATTCTCAATTAAAAAAAAAAGGATAAGTAAGAAAAAGTCATTGTGTTTTGGTTGCCACCCCAGTTCCCCCTTGCCCCTACAGATTGGTATCCACGACAGGGACGCCCAATTTGATCAGCGAGAAGCCTGATAAGACACAGAAAAACAGTATGAGACACCATGGCACCAAAATGGGAGGAAAGGCTGACTTTGGTGATGGCACATCAACTGTCAAAGACCCACAGCTAACAGAGGAAACCGAGGCAGAGCTCCCTGCCCTGGGGCCTCTGGGACCCTCTTTGGCTAGTCTTTTTTTTTGTCTCTTTTAAAAAGGGAGGAGAGGCCTGGTTAGGATAGCGCAGCAGATGAGCCGAGTTGATGAAGGTCAGTGTGGAGCTCAAAAAACGAGGTGAAGAGGGAGAAAGAGAGGGGGGTGAGTACATTGTACTGACACAGAGAGAGGCAAGAGACAGGAGAGTTGAAGTGAGGGGGGGGGGAAGGGGCGATTTGACTGGATGTGGATGAGTGAATCGAAGGCCGTCACAAGAAGGCAATGCCCATCCCAATGCACCAACGGGACATATACACACACAGAGGGCCACTGTACCTAGAGAGGTTACCCTCCTGCAGAAGGCCCTGGGACTCATCTAGCACATTGGGTTCGCTGTAAAAAGGGGGGAGGCGGAGGGGAAGGGGGAGAACGGGAGTTTAGAGATCCGTGACTATGCCGAGCCCCTTCCTTATCAGCCCGGAGAGCCGGGGCATTTGCGTTCATCTCAACGGATTACAGCTGGAGTAGATTTCTATTCGTTAAACACTCATCTTCGAAAACACTTTATAGTGTTGCCCTGACACTGTTGGGTCAGGATCTTTGGATATCAACACAAATAAACACAAAAATATGACCGTGACTGTGGGATGTGACTGACTGAGTATTTTTTTTATCTTTAATTCTTAACCACCTCATTCAGCCGTTCGATTGCTGCGTATCGCCTCTTCTGTTGAGCACGGTGGTGGCGGCATCATGCTCCAGGGGTTGTTTTTCTCCGGGAGACCACCCGCTTTAAAACTTATCCACGCCTCCCAGTACTGTCGCTACATTACAATCCGTGACGGTTGTGTTCAGGTAAAAGTTTTACCAATGTTAAATTATCTTTCTTTTCAAACAAAAACAAATGTTGTTTTTTTTTGTCCCCAAAGGGAAGATGATTGTCGTGCAAGCCTGAATGACTTCCTGTGTGGAGACGTTACCTCTGACTGGGTAACATTGTGGTGCGGGGGCCCTCGGGCGGTGCGGCCGCGGTGCCTGTGGCGTGGCTGGAGAAACGCCGCTGGGACATCACCCGGGGCAGGAAGGCCTCGTGCTCGCTCACGACGCTGGGAATGCTTATGGAGTCGTCTGCGGTGAGACGAGGGGAAGCGGGTGAGCATTTGAACACACGTCAAACGGGAGAAAGGGGAAAAGAAAGAGGAGCGGTTCTGACTCTCTTCGTCGTCCTCGTCGGTGCGGCTGAGCGTGTCCTGCGATGGCTGGCGCGATGGCTGGCTTTCCTGCTCCCAAACGGTGCCGGTTCCCGTGTTGGAGCGCGACATTGTGGCCAAGCTGAGGCGGTAGGCTGATGTGGAGGTACCCACTGTGCTGATGGAGGTCTTACCCTGGTATGCTGTTGGAAAGCAGACCCACCGACAGATAACAGTCATGGCAGAGATAGTATTTTTCTATATGAGGGTTGCACGGATTTGGGGCATTGTGAAGATCAGAGGCATTTGGGTATGTCACCAGAGCCGCTGTGTACGGCTTCCTTGAGGATCTTGAGCTCGTTGTTGAACTCCGCGAACAGGGAGCTCTTGCAGAGAGGTCTCGGGATGAAGCGCCGCTCCAGCTGGTCTGCGATGTGGTGGCGTGCCGTAATCTCCTCCTGGGAGTCGGCTGGCTGGGTTAGCAGCTAGAAATCACCCAATTCGATCAGCAAATTGAGAGATCTTAAGGCCAGGAGGCGTTTTGAGAGGAGAAAAAAACGACTCTGTACCTTGCACTGTATGAAGGGTCTCAGGAGGACGAAGATCGGTATGCGGGTTCGCACAATGAAGTCGATGAAGTCCCAGAAGGCCAAGCCGCCCACCTTTCTCAGAGCCATCTCCTTGACTTGCAGGCTCAGTCGATACCACTGGTTTCCCAGCGAGCGCTCGAAGCAAACCAACACTACCTTTAGAGCTGCGGAAGGACACGGGGTGAGAAGCTGAACTCGAAGAGAACGTCGGGCCTTGAGAAAGCTTCGCTATCGCAGTCATACCGAGATAAGCGGCTTGGCTGGTGGACTCTGCCAGTCCCTCTCGACGCAGGTCTTTCCCCGGGTCGCCGGGCGTGGAACAGTGAGCCGGTGAGGCGTCCAGCATGAAATTCTTGGTCCGGGAAGTTGAGATGATCCGAGGAGGCAGAAGGATATTGATGACGGTTTGTAGGAGGAGGAATATCTCCGGCTGCTCAAGGTGGGGGCTGTCTGCACCAGGAGAAGCACAAGTGTTGGAATCATAGAGGTTCAATTTATGAATGAAGATAAACAAACTTGTATGTAGAGCAAGAGAAGCATCCACAATTATGAAGTAGGATTTTTTATGGCACAGTTAAGAGAACGGCCTCTAAAGGATCAAACAACTGGATAACTTTCTGGACATTGAAGACTTCCCACTTCTCATCTGCAAAGCTTTTTCCAGGGTTTAATAAGTCTATAGGGGACATTCCAATGTTTTGATGCCTTACTGAAGGATAATGGATCGGGGAAGTCACAGTTGAAGATCTTTTTGTCACGCCCATTGAGAAATGACAGCAGGGCCATACCAACCAGGAGGTCTGGTTGGCACCTAGTATTTGATATGTGGAGCATTGAGGAAACCGCTGAAAACACTCAACATTAATGAATGGACCGATATTGTATACGATAAATATGGTAGGGAGAAAAAAAAAAGTACATTTCTCTTGAAAGAACATTTCCGCAGGATCTGGACCAAATGGACCGATGATCCAAAACTGATCACATCTGATTTTACTTGACTGTATATTAAAGACGGTTTCATTTGACTGTTGGAAGTTCCCCTTTTTTCCTTTTTTGTTCATGACTGCTGATGTTCCCAATAAATAAAAAATACGTCAAGAGAGAATCCCAGAAGGGAATAAGGGATTTGACTTTACAATGGACAAAGAACTGCTATACACTATAAAAGAATAAAAGCCGGGTGCTCTCACCTTTACTTCCAGACCCAACAGTCAGTACAAAAGGAATAAGCAGGTTGAGCAGCATCCCTTCACGCCTTTCCTGGTTAGTGAAAGGTGAGATCACATGACTGAGAGGGAAGTCATCTTTCAAGGCCTGAAATGGAGGGGGATAAATAAATTAGTGTGGGGGTCTGTTTGGTCACAAGCTGACGGCAAGTTTTGGCGGAGATGTGCTGAACCTGTATCTGCAAGGCGACCAGCCGGACTACGGCAGTGCTGAAGGGAAGCGGAGGAGAGAGGTAGGGGCTGAGGTGGAGGAGGGGCAGCCCGTCCGCCACGCTGGAGGGGCCGACGACACCCATGACCTGGTGACATCCACAAATAACTGTGTTAAAAAACAATAACAACAACACAGCTGAATCAGCCATTTTGGGCCTTTTTTCCTGCGTCGTGTGGCGCCTCCACACCAGGTTGACGCAGACGTTGATCAGCGAGCGGAGGTGCGGGAGGAAGGAGATGATTGGCTGTCGCTGCAGAGTCAGGCAGATTCCCTCAATCAGGTTGCTGGCTGCTTCCCACTCCACCTGCCTCCTGGAGAACGTGCACCCACACACATAGACACCGACAGAACCATCCAGAAAAAGGAGGGGGCAGGGGGAAAAGAAACAGGGCGTAAGTGGAAAAAAAACAACATGATATTCTTACCTGAGGAAGTGAAATTCTTTCTTTTTTTTTTTAAAGTGACCTATTGAAGAAAACAGTCATGTGCCGACTTACCTCGGTACCATCATGTCCCCACACGGCCATCACCTCCATAAAAGGAACAAAACATACAAACACCAAGTGTAGCAAAGCTCACACATACAGCCAGCGAACCACAGCCAGCGACAGGCCAGTGTTCCCTCAGAGCCAGCCGGGGCATCTCTTTTCTTTTAAAAACCATATCCATTTCATCATTTATTTTTAACAGTTTTTATCTAAAATCTTTGGAAGAAAAATCCAGTCTCTGAGCTAATCCTCAAAATTAGAAATAAAGAAATATTGTCAGGCAGCAAGCGGGTCAAAGAGTTAAAAATTAAGGATTTTGTGGCCAGAGTTCGTAAAACTTCAAATCTCAAATAGCCTAAAACATCTTAAAATGCAGGCTTACTTGTTCATATGTGGAAATAGTTTTTTAATCTTATTGTTGACATTCTATGGATTCAAATAGCTAATATTTAGCATGTAAAACATACATAGAAATCACAGCCTGACCCTAATTTACCCGATTACTTTTGTGTCCATCTTTATGTCCACATGTTAAAGCTTGACTTTCCCTCCGGGCGCCAGATCGTCTGAGTGTTTGGGTTTTATTCTGCCCTGCCATTGCCTCTTCAGAGCCTGAGTCAGAGATTCTGCTCATTTTTCTTTTTTGGTTTAGCCCCGTAGACTTAACTAGATCAAGTTTGATTCTGTTTAGATACTTTTCTCTCTTTTTTCTATTTAGTCCCCAAAATCTTATTGGTGAGTTTAATTAATTAAGGTTTTTTTAAAACATCTCAGCAACTCTTCTATCCAATCAAGTCATCTACTCGCCTTGAATTAATAAATCAATGTGTGTAAAATGCAATATGTGTCATAATATATGAGTAGTCTGTCTTTGTTGACTTTTGTGTATTTTCTGCTGTTCAAATTCTGCATCCTGGCTTAAAGAGAACATTGCCAGTCGGTACACGCACCGTCGTAACCCCACACCAAAGAAACAAAAACAGAAGCCACACTTAGAGGACAGCAACCCACTATGGCAGCGCGACAGTGCCAAGAAGCCGTCTATCTACTGTTCACACCATGGCACCGGCACAGCACGAAAACACTCACAGGGAGACGGAAGAGAAGGGGATCGTATTCAACAGACCTGGTGCATAGTGCCTGTGGGCGAGCGCACCTGAGCGTGGGCATTTTGTGGATCTTGTTGAACATGCGGTCCAGCCTCTTGAGGATGAGGATGAGGGCGGGCCGGACGGCCTCGGAGGACCAGTCGGTGATGGGCAGCATTTCCATGATGTAGCGCCGCAGGCCGCGGCTCTCCATGGTCAGGGTGTCGTAGGGCGCCAGTTTGAGCAGGGCGTGGGCGATCTCGGCCAGCCTTTGGGGAGACAAACGGACGAACAGTTGATCCATCAGCTTAAAGGAGGGCTCTCTCCACACAACGCTACATCGGCTCCAGTTTCTCCTCTGTGAAACGGCTTTGCTTGGAGAACACCGGAATCGAGCCCAAAATCCGATCACCTCATGTGGGATTTAATGTCCAGCAGCTCCAGAGCGATGACCCGCGGCTCGCCGGCGACGTTCTGCAGGATTTTGAGCCGAGGGCCGCAGTGCTTGTAGAACTCTGTGCAGATGTTCAGCAGGGACTCCCGCGGCCGGCGGAACTCCTCCCTGGCGATGCGTTCGTCCAGCTCCTCCCTCGGCATGCCTTGCCCTTCTTCCAGCAGGTGGAGGTTGTCCCTGTTGTGGGGAGAAAAACAATCGTTATTTGGGTTATTCCGGACAGGGACGGGGGGTGCTGAAATGATCTCAGACCTGGTGTTGACGCCTCCTGCCATGGCGTGGTTGGCGGTGGTGCCGCCCTTGTGGCCCTGATCGCAGCGGGACATCTGGGGAGCCGTCATGGGCCTGAAAAGTAGGTGTCGGGGACGCTTATTTTTTTCAAAACAAAAAAAAACTAGAGCAAAAATATTTGCACGTTTTAAAAAAAATCTTTTCTTTTTTTTTTTTAGCACACCTGGTGAGGGCCTCTGAACTGTAGAGCAGGGCCTGCAGGGATGTGGCCAGGGCGGCGATGGCCGCGATCTCGTCCCTGGCGGCCGAAGCGGACTCCATCGTGGTTGTGTTGCTTTTTAATTTCTGGAGGAAGCAGGGAACCAGAGCCTCCAGCACCATCAGCATCTGGAGACTAGGGGGAAGACACGAAAAGGGTGTTTTGACCTGTGCGACTGGCGCAAAGGTCAAGAAGATGCCGCCTCTCCCCTCCTACCTCCTGAAGGACTCGGGGGCGTAGGCAACCACAGTGACACACAGCTTTATGGCCTCGGTGATGGAAAAGGTCAAGTCTTCGTTCCCGTAACAGAAATCTGTGACGGAAAAAAAATAAAACAAAAAATTAGAGAATACACCCAGTTTTTAATCTACCCGCTCCATACTCAACCTTCACATTGTCCTCCCATTGCTACACACCTCATGAGTTCCCAGGTCAATTCTTGATTTGCTTATGAAGCAAAAGGTGATCACCAATTTGGCTATTTCACCTTAACTTGAACTTGTTAACTCGTTTCCAACACATAAAAACATATTTTACACTTTTTTTTGTCCAGGTATATTATGATAGATCTGATCTACTTAACCTGGATTTTGAGGAGAGATAAAACAAAGTTTGAATACTTTTTCAAGGCTTTCATCTGAGGCACACAAGTGGATGAAAAGCCACTGACTGTTTAGTGAAGATCCTGATTCAAAAGCATTCCAGTATGGAATGGCAGCAAACCGTCATACCTGTTGTCCTGTTTTTAACATGCTTTATAAAACAAAAGATCACACATTTCAATGTCACTCCTTTACAGTGTCACATTCATTTTTGCATTTTATGACATAACAGGCCTCATTTGCTCGAAATTCTACCTTATTTGAACTCTAAACAGAACGAATTATTCATCATTACGAAGTCAGGATCAGATGGACACATGGGTGTAAGTCAGAACATTTAACAATCCATGCAGTCTGCGGGCTGTTATATGAATGAAAAAAAAAGCAAGATCTTTGAGGGCCGCTCTGATTCTGCTTTTGGCTACCGCTTTTTTTGTTAAGAAATCCATAACTTTACCAAGAGAGCGCAGAGGTTTCTCGGCTTTGACCAGCTCTAGAGCGTCCAGAGCGTCCTGTGTTTCGCCCTCCAGGGAAACCAGCAGGTCGAACAGGCACTGGGCTGACACCCCTTTGGACAGACCGGTGCTGGTGCTGGTCTGGAGACAGGTAGAGACAGATTTGCACGACGTCCATCTGTGGCGGCCGGATTAGTTGGAGACGGGATGCGTTTGAGAGTTCTTACGGTGAATTCCAACAGCGGAGCCACGCTGGCGAACAGCTGGAGGACGAAGGGTTTCCGGTGGAGGATGTAGAACTGCCGGCAGCAAAACTCAATGCCCTGCCTCAGCAGCGGGTCGCTCTCATAGTCGGCGTACACCTGTCGGGGCAAAAGAAAGGGTCTTCAACAACTCTCAATGGACAACTAAGCAACCGTCTTTGGGTTTTATCCTTAGCTACTAGTTTTAATGTCACATAAGCGATAATTCATCATTTTTTAAAGAATACATTTTTAAAAAGGAGGTGATTTCCAAAGAGGAATTTGCTGCCAAGCTGAAATGACACATTTCAGCTTGGCGTGCTGACCTATGTGTGGAGAAAAAAAGGGAAATCATAGGGATAAGATACAGGCCTATGAACAGAAAAAGAGTATCTGAAAGTGACATTGTTCACTCCTGATCGGGCAAACGACCACATTTTAGATTCAGCCAGGGCCAGATTACACATTAGGCAAGGTCTGACCAGTAAGGAGTTGGCTTGAAGTGGTAAAATCTTCTCTAAGTTAGGTTTGAAATATATTGTGACCTGAAATTAGTAAAGGATTTTTTTTTTGGGGATGGGAAAGTGTGGTGATATCAATTTTCAGCCTCTATCTGAAACTTTTTTTCTTTACATTGCAAAAAAAAAAGAATCAATTTTATGAGTGACCTGCAGGGGATTACCTGAAGTTCACCAAAACTCTTTATGAATAATAATAATGCAAATATAATTCGTTAAGCTGGTTACAAAAGGACTGGCTTTGTTTTTGCTTTATAGGCTGAATTCCTATCAATGCTACACGTTTTAGTCAAAAACAGTAACTGTACACCAGGATGTTCTTTGGATGCTATCTGGGAACCGGGGGTTTGAGTATCTTTTAACGAGAATTCATTCCTCAGTTCCTGCTGAGCCAAAGGCAACTTGTACCTGCAGCATGGTGGGCAGGATCCACTGGTAACCGCTCAGGGAGAAGAGGTGGTTGAAGTGGACGGCGGTGTTGATGGCGGTGGCGGTGTACTGCCTGAGGAGGGCGCTGTCCTCCGGGTGCAGGAGCAGCGCCCCGTTGAAGACGTTGAGGAACAGCATCATCTCGTCGCCCCACGGATACTCGCTGGGCATGCCCAGGAACATTTCCTCCAGCAGCTTGATCCAAAGCACCTTGTGGAGGGTGTCCAACCCAAACAGCTCCTTACCTGAACGACAATGTGGCCGTATAATGGTCTATAGGATCCTCGAGGCAGTGATTGGGCGCGGACAAACCAGGTGTTGGTTCAACCCAAAAACATCAAAAACATTAAGACACTCAAAATATCTGAACTGGCAGACCTATATACTACCAGGACATGGTTTTTATAACACATCCATCTATTTTTCTGTCCCACTTATTACTATAAGGGTCACAGGGAGGTGGAGTCCCCGTCATCAAATGATGAGAGATGGGTAGTTAAGAATAATAATTTAACATAAAAATAAAAAAATCCATTCGACACGTTATTCCCCCTCCAAGACCGACGCATCTTTTTCCCAGAACCTTACAAACGGTGTTCGGGTATGTGGGAACTCATTTAGCCTGAACACTCAGGAAAAAGAATCTTCAAACTTACTCAAAATCGTACATTTCTTCCGGCTGAAACGCAGCAATACTAAGCGCTGCAGTTTCAAATATCAATTAAAAAGAAATCAATATGTTTGAGAAAACTTTTCATGCATCATGTCACAATATTAAATTGATTTTTGACAATGTCGCACGTAAAAAGACCAAAATTACACCATAATGGACGGGATTTTATAAGATGCATTTTGGCCTCACCTTGCGGCTCGTTGAACAGGGAGAACTCTGCATCGATGGCAGTTCTTGGGAAGGAGGGCAGGCGGAGCAGGTCCTCCTGCAGCAGGGAGACGTGGGACTGTTTGTGCACGGCCGGCATGTGCTGCGTCAGGGAGATGAGGAAGAGGACCCGACCCACCTCTTCCAGTTTACGGGAAAACACCTTTAGAGGTGAGAGTAACAGGCTTGTCACACTTTTGGATGTGGTTTGCTCTTCTTCTGATGAGCTACTCGGGGTTTGGTTTTAAAGCCAACCTGTTTCTGGATCAGCTCCTGTCCTTTGTCAGGCAACATATGGACTAGGTTGAGCTGGGGGGATACCGACCTCCTGAAGGGGTAGATATCCCTCACATAAGTCTGAAAGAACAGGGAGGAGAAATAATTATTTATTCACTTCATTTTGTCCAAATAAAACATCGTTAACTCCCTTTTTCTGGACATTTTCCCACTATTTAGACCTCGAACTCTACCTTAGAATAGTGGATGAGGTTCCATCTTTTGTCCATCAAGAAGTAGTGAGCCGATCTGGCTTCAGGGATGTTGAAGAACTCGAGACATTCCTAGATTCAAACAGAGGAGGCCTCGTGAACTGTATTTGCTTGAATCCTTTTGTTTGCCATCAACAATGCACAAATATCTCAAAAAGCCTTTCTTTCTGAGACTCTTATGAAGCCATTTCCTCCCTAATTTAAAATTGAATTTATTTTTAAAATTTTCATTGTGCCTCCCCACCAGTGGTTATTATGCCTTTTTTTAAACTGCATATCTAAACATTTTGAAATGTTTGTTAAAGAAGGAAAAAGAAAATTAGCATATAGTTGTTCTAATTTAGAGAAAATTTTATTTCTCATATTTCTCACTTATGAATGTAAATTAACATTTATAGTCAAATCAAATAGGTAGAGCACACAACTTAAGAAGATCAGTGCATCAAATCCCTCAAAGCTGCATGCAGGGATAACATATTTAAATTGTCATTTGCCCTGAGAAGCGTTAAAAGAGCTCTTTTAACCCTTTTACCTTCAGCAGAGCTTCAAACTGAGTGTCTTCGTGGACCGGCAGCTGCGTGGGGATGTCGCATTCATTCTGTCCGTGCACCACCAGCGTTTTGGTCCCTGCGACGACATTTAGAGTAACACAGACGTCGGAAACCGCTTCTAAATTGTTTGTTCACATCAGAATCCGATTGTGGACGAGCTAACCTGGCATGGAGGCGGTTACCAGCAGTTTGACCTCGCACTGCTCCTTTTTCATGGTTTGTTTCAGGTCCTTGAAGAAGAGCCCCTCCACGTATCCGACCACCTCCCACAAGAAGGTCAGGGTGGCGGAGATGGCGTCCATACCCCACTCACAAGGAGTGCGAACAAAGTACATTATCAGTCCAACCTAGAAGACGGCAATCGTATGAGGAAGTTAATAGCGTCTAGGGTGTAAATAACGGCGATGAGATGTTTGAGGGTCTTACCAGGTAGTTAAAGAGGATATGAGAGGTCTGAGCTGGCAGATCGCCAATGTTGAGCAGCAGCTTTCTCAGCATGTAGATCAGCTCATCCTGGGATATCACAACACAACATGTCTTTGGTGTATTTTTCAGACTGCGGCGAGCTTCAATTTTCCTGTCACGTATTCAGTAGAAGTGAGCGCGGCAGTGTGCGTTTGCCCACCTGTCTGTTGCTCACGGTGAGTTTTTCCAGGAAGTGGCGGAGAACCAGAGCTGGATCTTCGATGAGGCAGTTCCAGAGGATTTGCTGGGCGACCGCACTCACTTTGGGGGTGGGAGGAAAATAAACAAACAAAAAAATGTGATCTTTTCAAGTTCAGTCCGAAGCAGTCAGGGCTACATGTGAAATTGCAATTTACCAGCGACGCCATCTTCTCGAACCTCCCCGTCCTCCATCAGGTGCACTATTGGAAGGACGGCAGCACAGATGCATGCTGGGAACACGGCTTGGGGTGGCTGTAGCATGTGGTGAGTCGGAGTGTGTTCTGTTGTGTTCTCTTCATCTGGAAAATAATATAAAAAAAACCACGATAGTATAGATGTTAAAAAAAACAATAAAACCCAAAACCCTTTTTTTTTGGTGCTTTTATACCTTCAACACTGGCCAGCGAGCGGACGGACCACACGGAGCCACGGCGGAAAGAGTAGTTCCTGTGGGAGTTGCTGGAGGCGCAGGACGGGCTGACCGACAGGCGGCGGGACGCCAGGTTCACCACTTCTTCTGCTGTCAACAACACAACACGCCATCAGGGCACGGAGGCACTGGCGGCTCCCCTGCGTTTTTTTTTCCGCCTGCGAATCCGTCAGCCCCACCTTCCTCCTCCTGCTCGGGCGGGGGGCTGCACGTGGGCTCGTAGCAGGCCTCCTGAGCCACCGGGATGGCCGTGATGATGCTGGCCTCGCGGCCCAGGCGCCGCTTCTCCTCCTCCTGCTGCAGGTTCTTCAGGATGTGCTCTGCCCGCTGGTGGGAGCGCGACACCGCGCGAGCAGAGAAGGATTTCTAGAAGCAGGAGGGGGGGGGGGGGGGGGTTCATAGGTGGGGTCAGATCAGAAAGCAGACGAGTTCAAGCATGGAGAGGATTCAGCAGTGGTGAAAACCCTTGAGGAATGTGTGTGAACGGCTAATCTAGGGCTACAACCGAGGAGCATTTTGCAATGTAAAATGACTGGACAACACTTAAATACAGTAACTCTCCTCCAGCTCTTTTGGTTTCGTGCTCTAAAAACCATCCTGAGCATTGTAACAACAAACACCGGTGGTTGAGTTGTTTGAGACGAATTGTGACACAAATGCACGTACTCATGTACTCGGACTGGATTATGGAGAATTTACTGTATCTCGTGTACAGTAAATGCCTCACAGCATTCGCACAAGTGCTCATACACATCAAGAAAGAAGGCTCAACGGATGGTATGGAAAACATTTACAGCAAAGTCATTCTCGTCTAATGACCATGCATCGACAGCACAACACACACGACACGTCTGTATGTCCGATGCATGCTGTTATTTATCACTTTCTTCTTGCAATCAAAGCAAGGGCTGGAGGACTTTTTATTTTTTACCCGCAATGTGGTGCATCAAGATGCAGCTGACCCACATGACCCATGAAATGCCAACGAGATACCCCCCCCCGCCCCGCCCCCTTCCCTTCCTGCCCTCCTGCCGTCTATGGTAACAAGATGCATCAGCACAAACATCCGGACAGAAATACCAACTTACTATGGTATGGACTGACTGAATTAATGGTGGGTACTAAAAGCAAAGACAGTCGATAGATAAATTATAGAACATGTGCTCGCAGGTCGTCATCAGAATTTTGAGAACACTTTTTCACATACATGCTTGGTACCAAAATCAAAAAAACAAAAAAAGCAAACAAACAAGAAAAACAGACAAAAAAGGTAGTAGGAGACCCCCAAAATCTTTAGCCTTTTTAAAAAAAATGTATATCAAAGAACCTTAAATGCACTGTAAAAGTGGAACTTTACAATGTTTTTCGAAAGAAGGTTCCTTAAAAAAAAAAAATAATCTAGATATACAAGCGATGCAACGATTTCAGACAGGAGTTCATACTTACTGACTGGTCTTCGTTGATAGGGTCCTGGACACTACCAGTGTTTTGGGGTACCCATGGGGGATCAAATATGGGGACACACGGCATGCCCAGTATTGGAGATGGAAGAGTGAAGTTGATACTCGGTGGAGGAATCTGATGCCGAAGCCCCCAAAAAAAACAAAAAACAAAAAGCTCAACATGATTTTAAACGCCGAATTCGACTCTGACAAAGGATTTCTGGACAACAAAAACTTTGTGTACCTTAAAGATCTGCTGGGCCCCCTCCTCCATGCGGGGCCACACCTGGTAGCGGAAGCGCCACAGGGTGTAAAACTTCAGGATGGAGTTGATGCGCTGGCAGGCCTCCTGGTGCTGGAACTCGGCCATCATCATTTCGGTCACCGTGTCGGGGACCTTCACGGCGCACAGGAGGAACAGGGCGGCTGGGGAGGAGAACCCCCAAAGGGTCAGAAGTCAGAGAAAGGGTGGAATTTTCAAAAGATGGGAGGGAGAGAAGTAAATTACCCCGGAAGGCAAAAAGGAACAGAGGAGGATGGAAAGTCCGCTCACCTGCTGCAGCGGCCATGTGTTCATCCACGCTGAGCAGGAGCTCCCAGGCCGCCGGCTGGATGTCGCCGTACATATCGTCGGTCAGGATTGGAGCGGCCTTGGTTAGCAGTGACAGGGGAGCCGGGGACAAGCTCATCACCTGGAAGACACAGAAAGGAACGGAAATTAGATAAATGTTCTGAGACCATCCCATAACAACCTTCAAATCATCAATCGGTCTTAGAAGAAATTAAACTTAGAAATGAAATGATTCCCAAAACAAAAATCGACCCTTTCCAATATGCGTCAGAACCACCAGGCCCCAGTTTGTAAAGTATCACAACAACCAATCCCCAATATGGTTATCCAACTCAATTAAAAACCCTACTTTGAAAATCAGATTTCTGTTCAACCTCAATCGTAAGCTTTTGAATACCATGAATTTTTCTTAGTATGAGTTCATCTTTGATTTTTGAGCCAAAACACAAACAGGTCGAACTCTGAACCCATCATTTACCAAGAGGTCTCAACATGAGCAGCTACACAGGTTGGCTGTATGTAAATGAAATGTCGGTTTTAATTGAATATTCTTTTTCAAAGATGACTGTGTCATGTATTTGTGTCTTGTTATTTGATGTTACAGTGAAAAAAATTAATAGAAAAACTTTTTCTTTTTTAAACAGATCACCTGGTTGCGGATGTACTTGAGCATGCCAGTATCCTTCTTCCCCTCTGTGTTAGAGTCAGTGGGTCTTCTCTTCATGGAGGGGGTCCTCAAGCATGACTTGTCTGAACACTGAAGGCAGAGTGACTTTCAGTATCCATCACACACATAAAAACATACATAAATTAAGCCGACTCGTCTTCCTGTCGTTCATCAAAAGAACAAACAAATAAAAGCACCTCTTTGGTTTTCTTTGCCCGTGCTCCGATATTGCCGGAGGTGGCGCTGTCCTCTCGCAGACTGTCGACCGTCTCGCCGTACACCAGCTTGATGGCGCGGACCAGCCGGGCGCAGGAGCGGCTGTGGTGCTGGTAGCAGCGCGGGTGGCAGTAGTCAACGTGTGTGCAGATGAAGCTCTGCTGGTTGCACAGCAGGATCATAATCTGCACCGAGAAGAGCGGAGAAGTCATTCTGAAACTTGTATGAGAGCTGATGGTCCACTTGTACTGTTGGATATATATAAATATATATATATATATATTTATTTTTTTAAAGAAAAAAACTGAGTTTGAGGTTTAAAAAATATATAAAAATCACCATCTGTTTGGGGAGAACAAGGGCCAATGTAACAAGAAAAACATCAATGAATAGTACATATGCAAAGAATAACTGACTAAACTAAGGAAAAAGATATGCAGACTTACAACTTACCCTCCTAACTTCCACATAAACAGAACAAAACCAAAAAAAGTGATAGAATCAATATTGGACTAATTGGACTAATCTTAACCAAAGGGAACCAGAGGGATCAAACCTCTTTGACATCAACAACCAAGATGAGCAAAAGAGGAGGCTTCAGTCTAAAACAGCGGTGTCAAACTCAAATCCACAGATCTCTTAAAAAGTGGTTCAATTTTATTCTTTTGAATCAGTTGTTTTGAAGCACGGAACCATTTAAAACCAGTTCGACACCCCTGGCCCATTGTCAGGTGGCCAAAAAGGGCCATGGGGTGCAGATCCGGGGTCTTTAAATTGTCCAATCACAAGCCATGATCGGCTGGACCGGATCAGAACAGGAAAGAGAGGAGCTGGACCTGGGACTAGGCGCAGCACGTCAGTGCGTTACCGACGGGGTGGAACAACCTACGTGTAGCCAGGACATGTTACGGTGATAGTTGTCCTCTGCTCCTCCTGAGCTCGGACCTTCGGGCTCAATGCTGGGCTCGCTGGTGCTGAAAGGACTACCTGCAACGTCGAAATAAACCCCCATAAACTTACGTTTGAAACTGATGGGCGCCTTTCCCTTTTGTAACTGGCCCTTTTTTTGGGTCGTTTTTTTTTTGTCCGCGTCTTACCGATGTCCGTGACCGTGTCCCTGCTCTGCGTCTGTGACAGCAGCCCCTCCTCGTTCTCGGACTCCGAGTCCTGCCGGGACAACTTGGTGCTCTTCAGGCTCCCCGCCCGGCGGATTGAGGACAGGGACCCCCCTTTCTTCACCCGAAAACTCCTGGCCCCTTTGATCTGGAGCAGCCGGGAGCCTCCGATGCGGATCTTCCTGACGGGCGCTAGAAAGACACAGAGAGAGAAAATAAGAACAGAACTAAAAAAAGGGGGAGCAGTGCAGACTCACTGTTATGGCGGCGGGTCTCACCCTGGGCCTCCTGGCTCTTCTTGTCGTCGCAGGTGGTGTCCGACTTCAGGGTGTGGCTGCTGCTGTTGAGCGAGTCGTGGCCGTCCTCGTCGTCCAGAATGCCCGCGAAGCTGATCTTCCTCTCGTAGCGGTGGCGGCCCAGCTCCGGGTCGAGGCGCAGGCGGCAGCTGTCCAGGTCCTTGAGAGAAACACAGCGCTCCTTTTGAGGAAGTCGGCGCGTGGCCCGTTTCTGGCCGGCCTCCACGTTCGTGGTCGCCGCACGTTTTTTTTTTCCGGTCGTCTTTGTGCACTCACCACGAGCGGCTCGGCCCGCGGCCGCGGCAGACAGGGGAAGGTCTCTCGCAGGAAAGTGGTGATCTCCAACAGAAGCTGGCAGGCGGCCATTTTCAGAGCAAAGGGGCAGCCGCATTTCGTAGGATTGACTGTGTCTTCAGGGAAACAGAAACAGTGACAGTTGTAAAGCCAACTAAACCAGTAACCTGGACTGCATAACCATGCCCTTTTTTTTGGTCCAACAAGTGAGACCAGTGGCTTTGCCCACATTCTAAATATCACCACGGCTCCAGTTTTTGAGGCTTGTCCACTTCAATCTGAGTTAGTGTGTAACTTCATATTGTTTTCGTTGAAACAAATCAAACAAAAACCCGTATCATCTCCCTTACTGTCATCTAAATAATCTTCGTCCTCGTCTTCTTTTCTCATCCTCCGCTTGCTCTCCTCATCATAAATGAAGCCCAGGATGTTGGCGGGGCTCTCGCTGTCCGAATGGCAAAGTTCGCTGAGCCTTGTGCCGATGGCCTGAGCAGATAAATCACGCGTACAGCTCATTTAAAACATTTTTTAAAAAAGCACCGACTCACTGTACATAAAGCTTTAGACTCACATCTCCCCACTGGCAGAAATGCTTGGCGGCATTCCACTGGAGCTTCTGGTTTCTTTTGTTGCCCACTGTCGGCGAGCGGCCCCTGGACAGGCCTTTCTTGGTGATGTTGACATGGTGGCCCTTCATCCACTCAGGCCAGTTGCCGCGGTTGCAGCGGTGGACAAATCGGGCGCACTCCAGGAAGAGGGAGGCCCGGGCTACAACCGGAGCTTCCTGAAAGAAACGAACAAGCAGAGAGAGAGCACGGAATTAAACCGACGGTTTTCGCAAGTCAGGGAACATAAGGAGGATTCAAAAATCAAATAAAATATCCTACACCATAGCAAGTCTACTTGTGGTGAAATGATTTCTAAAACTTGAAATGGAAGACAGAGCATTCAGTTGTCAGTCCCCTCTCTCATGGGACGGACTGTCGTTACACCTCCACCATCTCTAAGACTTAGGCCCAAACTGCTGGGAGAGTTCCATTAATGCGTCCTTCCTCCCTCTTTTCTTTGTTTTTCTCCACGTGGATCCTACATTAATGTTACCAACCCGTTTCTCCTTCCCTTTCTCAGCAGGCATTTGAGCTGCTTTTAGTGTTTAAAGAGCCCCTTTCCCATCTCCTCAAACCCATTCTGATAGAAACGGATGGCCTCTTTCCTCAAGTCTGGGACTGGGACTGGCCGCCATTTGAATCAAAGTTCGAACTGAACAAACCAAGTCTAAAGCTGCAGCCAGGATGGAGGCGTCGGGTATGGTCCCGGGCTCGCAGCAGTTCAGGAGGAACTGGAAGCGCTTCATTCCCTGTCGGATGGCGCCCAAATTCACAACGTTCTTGTTCTTCAAGGCTTCCTGGCTGGCGGCGAGACGCTCCTGAAAACTGTGGGGTCCTGAGGGACGAGGAAAGGACAGATATGAACCAATCCAAGTGAGGGATTTAATAATGATCTCATTCTAATATATATACACACATGAGAGATAAGAGAATTGATTAAAGCTACACTGAGGATTCTACTTGAGGCATTACAAGGAGCAACATCACCCATCTGGTACATTAAACAAAAAGCACTGAGCAACCACCGACAAATGAAGCTGAGTGGAAGATGACACACAGCCACCGGCAGAGCTTACACTTGAACTTTCAATTTCACTTTTGCCTCTGAGACGGAGAAAGATGCGATAAGATGGATTGAAGCGATGCAGATTTGATGACTAAAGCACACCTTCAAGCGTTCTGCTTTTTTTTTTCCTTTTCTTTAAAAAAACAAATAATAAAATCCTAGAATCCAATAAAGCCCATTGAAATGACAAGTGTAGCCGTAGCCGCACAGAAGAGAGCCGTACGTAGACCAGTCTGTGTTCTACTTCACCCAAACTCGGGGACAGAATACCACCGGACGTCACCACAGAAGAGACAAGACGGGAGCACTGAGGGCGTCATGCTTCAGGTGGCACAGAAATGAGCTCGGCAGCGGAAAGATGGCCTCGCAGATGTGAGCGTTTGTCAGACGACGCTTTTTCCTCTCTGTTTTGCCAACTGGGTGAAAGAGAGAGGAGCCGCTCTGATATTGGATAAGTGTTGGAAACAGGGGCGTGCACGGTTGAAGGGGGAAAAAAATGCAAAGCTGGGAAGACAACACACAGTTACCCCCCCCATGCCCAAATAAAAAAATAAAAAATTAAACGAAATAACAGAAATAGAAAAAGGCATCAAACTTTTATGCCAATTGACAATGGGACAAATCTGAATCTGGTCTCCAAAAGTAAATGAAAACCTCAGATTGATGGCAGCAACGGGGAAGATAAGAAATGCAACTCAAGTAACATTTGTTTGAAGTCTCTGAAATACAGTTAGCAACATTCTAAATATGTGCTGGTTCCCCTGACATTGTAACGTCAAAAATACAACTTGGCCTAAACTATCCACCGATGCAAATTCCTCAGAAAGCAATGTAGCTATAGGCCCTCCTTAACTGTATAACGCCATATGTATCATATTTAAAATATATGGTTTCTGACATGTTTTGCATCCGAAACCTTTTGCATCATTTAATGGTAAAAACGTTCTTCTCAAAACCCTGTCGTTTGTCCCAAATTAGTATAATTTTATAGAAGCAGTCAGCTGTGCTACATCCCCGTCAGTTAATGCTCCACAAATACAAGGGGCCGGATTACGGAAGTAACAGGTTTAGGAGGGAAGACTTGATTGCAACTGGAAAATTGTAACTATTATCCATTTTAACAATTATCTGCTGTATGAGCCTGATTCATTAAGACAATGTAGGTATAATTAAACAAAACAACCTTGGTTTGGTTTGGTTTAAATAGATGTTGTGGGATATATTTCTAGTTAAAACCATATACAGGGCAACCTAGGCAAATTATATGGAAAGTGATGGTGAATTTGAGCTTACATTGGCCATTGCTTATGATATGCATGTCCTATCATGCTGTGTGTGTGTGTGTGTATATATATATATCTATATATATATATATATATATCTATATATATATATATATA